ATTATATTATAACTATAATATAAAAATACAAATAATAAACATATTATAACTATATTTTAATTATATTTTAATTATATATTTTATTTAATTAATCAAATTTATTTTAAATAAATAATAAATATAACATAAATATTATATAATAATAATAGATTTATAATATATATATTATATTATATTTATAATTTTAAAATATATAATAAGTCTATTATAACTATATTTTAATTATATTTTAATTATAATTTAATTATATATTTTTTAAATTATTAAATTTGTTTAAAATAAATAATAAATAAAACATAATTGTAATATAATATTACTATAATTATAATATATTTATTATATTATAACTATAATATAAAAATACAAATAATAAACATATTATAACTATATTTTAATTATATTTTAATTATATTTTTTTTATGTAAGGAACCATATACATATTTCATACTGTTATAATTTTGATCTATCATTATATAATGTGATAATTTTGTATTTAGGCCGTTCAAAGTTGATTAGTTGGTTAACGTCATCCCCCCCTCTCGGTTAACTGTTCCCCCCAAAATTAAACAAGCCAATCACAGCACAGCATAAACTTCATTAATCATGTGATTAAGGTTGACCAATAAGATTTGATCAAATATTCTTGGGAACATATGTGTTTGTTTAAATTTTCCCTCCCCCCCCCTCGTGCCTGAGCCCAAAATATTGACGTTAACCAACTAATCAACTTTGAGCGGCCTTAAGATGATTTAACAATTATATACATATGCTTTTATTATACGTCTAAAAATGCCCACACAAATGTTGCATAAATCTTGTAAAAACAATAATAATTAATCACATTTTATGTGCCTATTATGTGATCGCATCTGTCTATGGTCTCTAGCAGTGTTAAAAATTCGTTGTGCATGTATTGTTATTTGCTCAAAATTAACAATACGCTGTGCAAATGCACAAAAAATAAAATAACATTTATGTATAAAAAAATTTTCTTGCACAACATATTTGTGTGGAATTTTTAACACTGGTCTCTAATATACTATTTCTTATATTTTTCTTTTTTCGTAAATTTTATTTACCTAATAAAATCTTTGAAGTGATTTTTATTAAAAACAAAAGATACTACTTTATACTTTTGAATTATTAGTAATATATTATGAATAATTTGTTATATTTAATTTTATCAGGTATTTATCAAGTAATATTCGATTTAAAATAGAAAAAAAAGTTAGCTACAGCTTTTTTTTTGATGAGCATTTAACTTTGAATGAAGATTTCTTGGTAGTTACCTGATCAAATTATATAAAATTTTTTATCTTAATTCTATAATAAAATTAAAATAAAAAGAAACTCTTGGTTCAAAGTTAAATGTCCATCAAAAAGAAGCTGTGGTTAAAATTTTTTTTTCTATCTTTATTACTCGACAAGTACCTGATCAAATTAGATAAAAATTTTTTAATTCTTAAGTTATAATTAGAATTAAAATAAAAAAAAATTTCATCGAGTTTGCACTGTTAGTTATTGATAAACTTTCGTTTGAAATTTTAAAAATTAGAATGTCTTAGGAAAAATAATAAATTTTCCTTCTTCATTTTCAATTAAATATGATATCTTTTGATTATATAACATTTTTAATTAAATATGACATTTTTTAATTAAAATTTTATTGATAAAGGTTTAATTAAAAGTAATCAAGAAAAAAAAAATTTTTTTTTTTATTGTGCAAAGTTTATTCTCAAATCTATAAATACTTCGCTTTTCTTTATTTTCTTCAATTATTTCAATTTTATATAATTGACGAAGAAAGATCATTTAAACAGCTTAATTTATCTTAAAATGAATTTAGACTCAACCCGATACACAATCGGCTGTCCGAAGAAAATATATGTGCGTGTCTTATGTGATTTGATTCGGTTATTGTTAATTGTATGGAGGGTTATAAGTAAATAATTATAAATACGATACTACTACTATATGAATGCAATATGCGAATGCTGATATATGTAATATATAACGTAAATATAATATATATTATGCATGTATTTTAATAAAATGTATATACTATGCTTTAAAACCTCATTCATAAGTAAAATCTCCCAAATCCAATTCCCCTTCTAAACTGGGTTCATTTAGATAGATTTCTCTTGCTTCACTTCTTCCTCCCCTCGGATACTCCTTATCCAACCATTCTTGGGCATTTACCATAATACTATATTTTTACCCAAAAAGTCAAACCTATTGAAGATCATATATTACGTATAAATTTTTCATAGCCTGACTTTCTAAAATTTATATAGTAAAAATGCATTTTTTCAAATCGCTATCTCTCTTGCATTTTTAAAGATAAAGATATAATTTTTGCTTAAACTAATAGAGAATAAATTATAGTTTTATGATATAGAAAGCTCTTTTGACTTTAAAATAGTCATCGTGCAAAAAAGAGTTTTTTGCATGATTTACTATTTTAAAGTCAAAAAAGCTTTCTATATAAAACTATAACTTATTCGCTATTAGTTTAAGCAAAAATTATATCTTTATCTTTAAAAATGCAAGAGAGATAGCGATTTGAAAAAATGCATTTTTACTATATAAATTTTAGAAAGTCAGGCTATGAAAAATTTATACGTAATATATGATCTTCAATAGGTTTGTTAATATGATAATAGTATATCGCATACCCCAAACTAACATGTTTGGGCAAACATAATTTTGTATTCATGGTTTTAAAACAGAGTTTGAAACACAATTTTGTATGTGCTTCAGAACAGTGTTTGTTCGGGTTTCTGAGCATGAACTAACCAGTCTAGCAGAATCACATCCCTAATTAGTTGATTATTAGCCAGCCGCTAAGCCGATGTTTTAGTCGGCTGGCTTTGCCAGCCGACTAAAGTCATATGGCTTACAACACTATGAGAAATTTCCGCTCTAAGTTAAATATCTGTTAAAAAGAAGCTGCGGCCAAATTTTACTTTTAAGACAGCCTAATTTTTTAAGCCTTCAAGCGAAGATTTCTCAATAACTAAAGGTGAAAATTCGATAAAATTTTTTTCATTTTAATTCTATAAAGTTATAGAATTAAATAAGAAATTTTTATTGGATTCGGTTAAATAATTATTAAGAAACTTTCGCTAGAAGTTATAGAAGTTAAAAAAATTTTAATCATTTAAAAAAGAATCTTGGTCACATGACCCGAGATTTTTGTGGCCGCTCTGGTGGATTCTTCGTTCACGATACAATAGAAGAAACTCCCATGTGATATCATGAACTTTGTTCACGATACAATAGAAGAAACTTGATCCATGATGATTGAAAATCAATTAAAGAGATGACAACTTATTAAAATTTGATAATTACGTAAAAAATGGGTAGGTCATTATAAATTTACTTAGACATACGTATGAAATTACAATTGCCTTTAGAGCTTATCTTGTTAAATCCAGGTCAGTATTATATACTTATATTATTATATACAGTAATTGTTTATTAGAATTACGTATATTATTATGATATTTAAAAAAGAATTATTTAAAAACGATATAAATAATTAAGGTAAAAGAAAAAAAAAAAAAAAAAAACAACCATGTTCGCCTTAAAAAGTTTTTTACAAAAAATCATTAACAACGAACCTAATAATTCCGATATATGTATAATCTGTCAAGACAGCATTTCATCAAACATAAGTGATTCTATCACTATACTTAACTGCCACCATATTTTTCACTATGATTGCATTTTTGGTTATCACATGCACGACTATCGCCCCAATATTTGTCCTATTTGCCGCAATGAAAATGTACGAAGTACATTATCTAAAGTTTCAGCAAGTAGCTCTACTGAAACACAAAATACAGAACGTGAAGAAAATGAACGCAACGAATTATCTTCGCAATACGAAGGAAATGAACATTACGAAGTAAATGAACTTTACGTAGAAAATGGTGTAAACGAAGTTGAAAAAGAAGGGGGTGAGAATGGAAATGACGAAAATGAAGCTGAAGATGACGAAGGGGTTGAGAATGGAAATGAACATCAGGACGAAAATGAAGTTGAGGGTGAGGCTGAAAATGAATCAACTGCAAACACTCGGATTGATCAAAAAGTCCAAGAATTTATAAACGAAATTGTAAATCCAGACATTGATGAAATGGATACAGATGAAGAGGATGAGATGGAAATGGAGGAAGAAATGAGTGATAATGGGCAAACAATAAGCCTACAAATGTTGTTGCACTTGTATGATCATGCATGTAAAGCGGAAAGAAAAAAAATAAAAATAAAAAGAGAAATAATCAAACGGTGGTACAAGTATGGTGAAAACTTCGAACGTAAACTTACAGAAATAATGTCTAGCAA